CAAATCGAAGGTTTGGGTCACACTTTTAAGAGATTATACATCTGCATAGGGGCTTGTAAGGAAGGGTTTAAGGCTGGGTGCAGGCCAGTTGTTAGGTTGGATGGATACTTCACAAAATCTGCAGAAGGTGGGCAGTTGTTGGCATCGATGGTGAGAACAGTATGTTCCCGTTAGCATGGGCAGTTGTGGATGCAGAGAACAAAACAAACTGACAATGGTTTATAGAATTGTTGGTTCATGACATAAGGATGCACAACCCTTGAGCTTGGACATTTATTTCCGACAAACAAAAGGGTTTGGTGGATTCCATAAGTCAATACTGTGAAAGAGCGGAGCATAGGTGTTGTGCTAGACATCTTTATAGCAATTCACCTTGGCACACAAAGGTCTGGCCCTTAAGAACCTATTTTGGATTGCAGCAAGGGCAACAACAGTACCAGAGTGGAAGAGTGCAGTGAATGAGTTAAAAGACATAAGTGAAGAGGCTTACAACTGGTTCCTTGAAAAACCTCATTCCCAATGGACCAGATCCCATTTTGAAGAGCATTCGAGATGTGATATCCTTCTTAATAATTTGTGTGAGGAATTCAATTCTTCCATTGTTGTTGCCAAAGACAGGCCCATCATCTCGATGCTAGAGAAAATNCGAAATCTTGAACATCATGTGGTTTCTCTTGTATAGTTACTTTTTTGGGAAAATGCTGTGATTTCTTGTAAACTGAACTGGAAATATGTGCTTCCAATGCTGATATTTTGCAAATGTAACTGGAATTCTGATGAAATTGTTGAATGTGATGATAATGTTGATGTCGAATTTCTTGCATTATGTTTCTGCTGGTTTTCGTTGGTTTCTGAAATTGTATTCGCAAGATCTAATGTGCTGGCGATTAGGAAATATATGAAAATATTTGATACTTCCTCTGAAAGTATTATCAAACGTTCAGTACCTTTACTCGGTATTCTATCTGAAACCATTAGAAAAGGTTTGGTACTGATTCTACGAATCGTTATAATGTTTGGTACCCATGCTGCACCTTCTTCAGATAAGTTTGGAGTGTAATCAACTCTTTTAATTTCGCATTTTACATAGAGGCCAGGAAAAGATCGTTATCACCTATTAAGGCAGCATTAAGTATAGGAAAAAGGGGGCACTTCATTTCAAGTAAAAATGTAAACACAATTTTCCCTTTTTACATATGCATTTCACAACATCTAGCACATGGCTCTATGTTGAAACCCTAAACTCAAATTTCTGGAACTAAATACTAAAATCCTACAATCTGAACCTACATACCTAGGAACAAACCCATTTTGCAAACACTCCACACACAAAGCCGAAGAACCAGATCTTCCACACATTTGGTCTTGTTGCTTGAAGGGTGTTGATTTCAGCTTCCATTTCCCTCCTAACTTGTAATAGACCAGGAATTAGTTCCTTCGATCTCTTACACATTTTAGGGTCACACCACATAAAGAAGGTGCATCCACCCACATCTTGGCTTCGAGGACAAGTGAGAATCTTCTTCCCGGGTTTAGGTTCATCTACGAGGTCTTCATCTGCACTGGGGAACCACATCTGCATACATTCAACTCCATGTGCGTGCTGTTTTGTTTTTTTACTACCTGTGAGAGAGAAGGTAGGAGGTAATATAGTGGTAAAGAAATGGAGGGAAATAAACAGTGAAGTATATAATAGGAGAAAAATGTGTGTAATGCCCAGATCTCCTTTCACTTATTTGGGAAAAATTCTTGAAAATATCATTAGAGGGGTCAACTGACTGTTTTGGCGATCAAACAGACGGAAATCGTCATTTTGGACTGGCCCCACTCATTTTTTAAATGTTTGGTATCTCCGATGACACAAACTAAATGTTTGGACAAAGTTTGCTAATAAACAAAAGGTTTGGTACCTCGGCTGCAATTTTCCCTAAAAGTAATGCCATATAGTCCCATTGAAGTTATAATCTCATTTTATATAACGCTAATGTGACATTAAATAATAAGTTATTTAATTTTATCTTTTATTTAACTTATCATTTAACACCACATAGATTGAAATTATCATCTCAATGGAGCTAGATAGTATTATTTTATAAACAATGTTAAGGAACAATTAGCCCCTGCTTGATTCCTATTTTTTGGGATAAAATGTATTATGGAATAATGAAATTTTGGAGAATGTGTGGTTAAAAAGTAATAAAATTTTTGAAATACGTGTATAATTATTTTATGAGAGAATGTGGTTAAAAATGAGATTTAAAAAAATGGTGCTCAAACAAAGGCTTAATAAAGAATAGACAAGAGGTGTTAAAGCGAATATGAAAAATAAATAAAAAAGGAAAGGAAAGATAAAACTTGACACTGGCCATTAGAAATATATGATGCAGATGAAGTTTAAAATTGGATAACCCTAATTCTTAAACTTTCCTATCTCGTCCTTATATATAGATTAGTAGCAAACATATGCATTGCACATCTTATGTATAAGATGAATGATATGAGTAATATTTTTAAAGTAAGGTTAATATTAAAGAAAAAATTAAAATTGTTAGAGAATATGAGCATGTTTGGTAGAGATTTTAATCCAATTAAAATCAAAATTTTGATCGTTATTTCACTATTTTCAACCGTTATTTTTGAATTTTTCTCTCACATGTAGGATCCACTTTATCTATACGGTCAAAAAATCAATTAACAAAATCCCTACCATACAAATACTATATATATGAATAAAAATTTTATGAAATTATGTTCATAATGTAAAAACATTGAATAAACTGAATTGTAATATTTTATTTACTTATTTGTTTATACTAGACATTGGTTCTTATTTTCAATCATTACAATGACATTGACCAGCTTTGTGGTTAAGCAAATACAAAGAAAAATAGAATTAAGAGATGTAGATTTGACTTAGTTTAAAATGTTTACTTATAAGTAAACTAAGGGTACATAAATGACTTTCAAAATAAAAAAATTACTCATTTTGTCCATAATGTAAAATTTTTTTACCTTAAAAAGAAAAAAAAAGTATATTTTCTAAACACCTTTAGATAAAAAAAATTACATACTATTCATACTCGTCATATTAATCCATAGCATTCATTTCAAATTTAAAATCAAAGTTACATTCAAAACAGATATAGAAGTGAAAAATCTTAAAAAAAAAGTTTATTATTATTATTATTTTTAATGGGATTAACACAAATGAAAGGATAAAAAAAATACCCAATACTATGTTAATTATTTTTTAGAACACATAATGTTAGTTTTTAAAATTTGATTTTAGTAAAAAATGTGTAATTGAGATGCGAAACTTGTATTTAGTAGATAGATGCAAATATGGAAATGGTAACTCCTAATTATTAGGAGTAATTAGTATGTTTTTTTTAAGAATGGTTTATAATTTCTCTCATTTTCAACTCAGTCCCTCTTGATTGCTGATCATATTTAAACAGTTTTTTATTTTCAATTTATTATCATTTGTAAATAGTCATATTATCTATTACATTAATTAAAGGTTCAATTTATAATCTTTGATCCAAAACGTTGACAATGTTATAAGTATAAAATGGTAACTTGAACATTTCTCATCTATTTTCTCATTTTATTTTTATACATATTGTAATTGTAATATAATTATGGCCTTGTTCGAGCCCATTTTTGGGAAAAAATGAATTTTTGAATAATGTATTGATGGAAAATGTGTGGTTAAAAATAAGTAAAAGTTTTGGATTTGGGTTTATTATTATTTTATTAAAAAATGTGTGATTAAAACAATGTCAAAATACTATTTAAAAATATATTTTTTGAAAAGAACGAGGCTCAAACAAGGGCTATATAAGGAAATGAACATTGATTTTAAGTAAAGTTCACGTATATAAATAATAAATAATATACATATATACATATATATGAAATAATATTATAATATATTAAAGAGGGCATTAACGTTATATTAATTAAAATTTAACTTTATGTAGTTTCCTTTTGAGTTCATTTTTCATATTGAAGTACTCATAATTTTATATTAATTAAATTAAGTTTAATCACTTAAAATCGAAGCTTGTCTACATATATAATTATATAGGAAGTGCTACATATATATAATTGTTTACATAATGGTGTCCATAATTACATGTGGCACTAGATCCAATATTTAATTCAAATCTCGCACTTGTACATCAACAATCGAATGATTGCCACATTACATTATGGACATCATTATGTGCAAAATTACGTACATGTAGAATTTTCCTAATTATATTAAAACTATAATACGTATTATTTTATATTGTAATTAATCAACCATTATATTAATGCAACATTTAATTTATTATATTACATAATTATAATAAAATTACATCGATACATGAGAGATTCGATTTTAAGTAATAAACCTAATTTAAATTATGTAATTTAAGTAATTAAACTTAATTTGGTTAATATGAAATTCTAAGTACTCTAATATTAAACAATAAGTATTACACTTAAATAGATATTAAATGAAGTTAAGGGAGTGTTCGCTAGTCATTTTTATGTAAAAATATATTTTAAAATAATAAATTGATGAAAAATGTGTGGTTGAAAAATAAAGAAAAGTTTTTGATTTACGTATAATATTATTTTAATAAAGAATGTGTGGTTGAAAAGAAGAGAGAAAAATGCATTTTGAAAAAAATGGCTACCAAACGAGGCCTAAATTATATTAAATGGTATTGTATTTAGGGTATGTTTGAGCCTTTTTAATTTTGAAAAATATATTATAGAACAGTAAATTAATGGAGAATATGTGATTAAATTTTTTTTTTTGATTTGTATGAAATATTATTTTAATGAAAAATTTGTAATTGAAAATAGTATTCTAAAAAAAACAATGCTATAAAATAATGGGTGCAAATTGAGGCTAAATATATGAGGATATAATTAAATATAAATTGTATTAAATGGTACTATATATATACATAAATATAGAAAACCCTAATTCATAAACCCTCGCCTTAAAAGACTTGGCCCTCTTCCTCTTCCTCTTCCTCCTTCTCTCCCCACTACCAAAACCTACTTACGCATATACTGAGATAGAGGAGTTGTGAGAGCTAGTAATGGCGCTGTACATACTGTACGAGTCGGCGTCGGGTTACAGTCTGTTTATTGCTCACGGACTCGATGAAATTGGGCAGAATACGGAGGCGGTTCGGGGGTCCGTGTCGGACCTGAACCGGTTCGGAAAAGTGGTTAAGTTAGCTGCCTTTAGTCCCTTTGAGTCCGCCCTTGATGCTCTCAATCAATGCAATGCCGTCTCTGAAGGTAAACAAAAGAAGGCATTTACTTGTTGATTCTGACGTTCAGTGTTAAAAACGCATGGTTTGTTGTGCTTCAAAAGCACTACCTTCATATAGTTTCTAGAGTTTGGTGTTTATTTTAGGAGTACATGTATATCTGTCACTGCATGTGAAGAAAATGATAGCGAGAGTTGAAAGAAGAAAAATGCAAGCCTCCTTTGCGAGTGGTGGGTGTGGAGCAAAGTAGCTTTAGTCAATGAGGTTCAATTGTTAGATTTGTTAATTTCTAAATATTTTTTAGGTTCTCCCATTTGGTTCATCCCATCACAAATCATATAAAGAAACGGAAAATATAAAGGGAGAAAAATCGAGAAGAAGTTGAGCCCCTGTTTGACAACCATTTTTCCGGATGATTTAGTTTTTAAATATTGAATTTTTGGAGAATGTGTGGTTAAAAAAAAGTAAGAAACAGTTTTGGATTTATTTGAAGGATATTTTATTTTGATAATGTGTGTTTGAAAATGAGTACAAAAAAAATGTTTTGAAAGAATGGTTGTCAAACAGGGGCTGAATAGGAGTTTGCAGTGTTTTAAGAAGGCGAAATTTGGCACTAAGGCATTGTCACTGTGAAAAAAAAAAGGTAAAAAGAGTACAGCTTCATTCTTCTACTTAAATATGCTGGCAAGTACTATCTCTTGCCACACCTTGAGGCTCGCAACTGTGAGTATTTGCTATTTGTTATGATTTTTTATATTTGATGATTAACAGGACGTAATATTTTACGATTTGATTAATCATTTCATGGATGTGTTGCTTATCTTTTGTGTAGTTTCTGTGTGAATGCTGTCTCTAATGATGTGGGTTTTAGGGCAAATGACTGATGAGCTGAGAAGCTTTTTGGAGCTTACTCTCCCAAAAGTTAAGGAAGGGAAGAAGCCTAAATTCAGCTTAGGAGTGGCAGAGCCTAAACTTGGGTCACATATTTGTGAAGTAACTAAAATTCCTTGCCAAAGCAATGAATTTGTCCTCGAGCTTCTTCGAGGCGTGCGCTTGCATTTTGATAGGTTCATTGAAAACCTAAAGGTTTGCAACTTCTCAATCTTTTGTCTTAAAATTAATAATGCTTGTAGATTTTCTTTCTGAGATAGCTCCTTTGGTTTATTTGTTTACTCATTCTTTCCCTCCAAAAAATTAAAATAAAAATAGCCTGGTGATTTAGAGAAAGCACAACTTGGTCTTGGTCACAGCTATAGCAGAGCAAAGGTCAAGTTCAATGTGAACCGTGTAGACAATATGGTTATTCAGGCTATCTTTCTTCTTGATACTCTCGACAAAGACATCAACTCCTTTTCCATGAGAGTCAGGTTAGTGTGTGTGTCACTTGCTACTCTCCTTTCCGTGCCACATGGAAAACTTCTGACTTTTGGTTTTACTCTCTCTTTATGCAAAATGGCTATGTACTGGTTAGACCTTTTCATTGTAATCCTTCAATTTTTAATGCACAAAAATAAACACTCATATTAGCATGTTTATATGAGTTTAGCTCTACGAATCATGGTTTCTGTTACTTCTGATCATGCAGAGAATGGTACTCTTGGCACTTCCCTGAATTGGCGAAGATTGTTAATGACAATTATCTGTATGCCAAAGTTGCAAAATATGTGGAAGATAAATCTCAGTTGTCTGAAGACCATTTATCAGGCTTAACTGACATAGTTGGGGATGAAGATAAAGCAAAGGAAATTATAGAAGCTGCCAAAGCATCCATGGGTACAAGCTCTTATGTTTTTCCGAGAAATAAATGCATGTTATTATAATTGACCTGGCATTCCTTACTTTCTCAGGACAGGATTTGTCTCCAATTGACTTGATTAATGTCAAGCAATTTGCCCAGAGAGTAATGGATCTTGCGGAGTATAGGAAAAAGCTCTATGATTATCTTGTTGCCAAAATGAATGACATAGCACCTAATTTGGCTGCACTGATTGGTGAAGTCGTTGGTGCTCGATTGATTTCTCATGCTGGCAGTCTCACAAACTTGGCAAAGTGTCCTTCTTCAACTCTTCAGATCCTTGGTGCTGAGAAGGCCCTCTTTAGGTATTATATTTGTACAGCATGCCTTTGTGAATTTGAACTTGAGGTTTTGCAGATGAAATATCGAATTTAAATAATACAAAATTATCTCTCTGTGATAAGAATCAGAATTGCTGTTTGTAATGAAAGCCAGATAGCCTTGTCATGCTTGGCTGTTTTTGCTTTAATAATTTTGATGTGGATTAAAAGCAATGTGGAAAAGATTATGAGCAATATGCAAACCCATGGGAACGCTGGAAACTCGTGTTTTTTGCTTTAATAGTTTTGGTTCCTCCGCTTATGTTATTCTGTGGTCAGGGCACTGAAAACCCGTGGGAACACTCCAAAATATGGTCTTATATTCCATTCCTCCTTCATTGGCCGTGCTTCTACTCGGAACAAAGGCCGGATGGCTCGTTATCTTGCAAACAAGTGCTCTATTGCTTCTCGCACTGACTGTTTCTTAGGCGAGTTCATACTCATTTAGAAAAGACAATAGTTAGTTATTTCATCTTGCACTCGCAACAAATTGTTAATGTATTCTGATCTCTCGCTGGTGCAGAGAAAAATACTACTGCTTTTGGAGAAAAGCTCCGTGAACAAGTTGAGGAGCGTCTAGACTTCTACGATAAAGGGGTTGCTCCTCGTAAAAACCTAGATGTGATGAAATCAGCTATTGAAACTGTTGAGAGCAAAGGTAGGCCTTATATGCTTCCATATACAATCTCATTTCTGAAAATTACAAAATAATATTGAAGAACTATCTCTAAATAAATATCCAGATCTTTAAATTTCAGATGGTTTTATATGCTTTATCTGATGATCCTGCGATTCAGATTCACCGAATTCTTAATTACTATGTTTCATTTACTTTGTTAAGTTTAATCAGATATTCTGTTGCAGCTGAGTAAGTGCTGATTTTCCGGATTGGAAAAAATGAAAGACATGAAAGTTCTGATATACATAGCATTTTGCATAGATATATGCATCTGCTTGTTTCAATTTGCCTTCCATTTGGGATTCATCTTGATTTTTCTCTATTAATTCTTATTGTAGTACGTCATTAATCAGGATGCAGGCTATGCACAGTATGCTTATTCTCTATTATTATGTTTTCAGATACAGAAGTGAATGTAGATGAACCCGCTAATGGACCTTCTGTGAAAAAAGGCAAGAAAAAGAAATCCAAAACTGGAGTGAAGGAGGATGTTGAATCGATGACTGAGGATAATCCAGCAGCTGTTTCTAATGGAGATGCTCCTGAAGAACCTAAAAGTGAAAAGAAGAAGAAAAAGGAGAAGCGAAAATTGGCACAAGAGGCAGATGAGGAAAAGAATGAACCTACAGAAAATGTAAATGGTACAAATGGATTTAATGCTGAAGATGGAACAGTCAAGAAGAAGAAGAAGAACAAGAGTAAGGATGAAAACACTGAGGATCTAGCTGCAAGGGAAGGTAAAAAGAAGAAGAAAAAGTGATCGAGAAATGAAGACAGTGAATGAACACTGGTAAGGAGATTGTTTTTTGAAATCCAGTAGTTGTTATCTGGATCGGTCGGATTTGTAGGTTTGGAATTCGAGGCATGGGGTGTGTGGTCCGTAGGCTAATGTGTGCTATGATATGTGAAAAATCAATTTAGTCCCCCTCCTAATGTGAACACAAATGGTTTCGGGGGCCTATCAAATATCTATTTATAGTCGTTTTATGTTCCAGTGTTAATGCTGTTGGTAAATGCATGCACCCATTGCAAGATAATTGCAATCAAAAGCATTTCCCGTGTGACTGAAATTTTTCTTTGAAATTCATCTCACTTCTCTAAATTAACTTTCTTTCCAGATTGTTCACTATTTTTTTGTTCCAGGGTCTTTTTTCTTTTGTTTATTTATGTGTATATGTTTGCGTTTCGGCCTGTGTATGTCTTTCCATACAACGTTTTTGGCAGGGATTCTTGTGGAATGACCTCAGATAGTTCATTTATCAACTTACTTCTGAGACTCGTCAGGAAATATGTTAAGAAGTATGGAATACTGCTGAAGTAATGGTGTCAATCAGCTATCCGGGCCACTTGCAGACGCCCAAGTCCGACCATACTTGCAAGCCTGGACTGGACTGGCTATTTCAAATTTCTATATGGTTCCTCAATGGCCGATTGGTGCCCAGCTCTCTGTTGTGGCCTATGACACTTGTGCATTGCAGACAGAAAAATAAATCGAACTTACATATTACTCTAACAAAAAATAAAAATCCGAGCCTAATGATTTCATTTTGTTTTCCTTGAAACAATTTTGCTTCCCTACTGTCTATGGTTTGCAACTGCGTAAAAGAGATTTTCTTTTTAAAGACTTTACACCGTTGGTGTAAACCGAACTTTAAACTGCAGAACGGAAAAGGCTGAACTTCAAACGAAAGAATGGAAAGTCCGTATTTAAGGGGGACACATTCTGAGAAATAGGAGTGATTTAATTACTCAAAGTCGAATGAAAATTAAAAGAAAGAAAGCTATATGGCTCTCTTTGAGCTCCATTAATTTTTAATGAAGAACGTGAGATTGAAAATGAGTATTATAGAAGAAATAGTGAGAAAGAACGGGAAAAAATGGGGCTCAAACAAAGGTTATATATAGCACTTGGACGTGACTTTTTTCCGTTAGGGCTGAATGACAGTTGATCGACCCAGAGAACAGAATAAAGAATAATGTCATGTGACATTGCTGATATTATCTCACAAGTTTAGGTGTTTTTAATAATTTTAAGAGTAATGTTGCCTCTGTTTGAATCCATTACATTAAATTTTATTACATTATATTTTTTAATTTCTTATTTTCAATCACACAATCTTTCATAAAATAATATTATACGTAAATCGAACTTTTTTCCTTCTTTTTCAACCGTTCATTTTTCAAAAGACACTATTTCATCCATTTTTATTTTCAAAAATGGGGGTCAAACGGGGGAAAAATCTAAACGATCATGGTATATGTTGCAGTGGAGTCATTGCTAGTTTGCTACATTTTCTTTTGAGCTTTGAATATGTTTTCTAACAATGGAAAATGGGACAATAACTATCACACAGATCGATGATGAATAATAAATTTATTTATTGCTTTTAAGAATAATGTTATTTAGTATCGATGATCCTACAACAATAGTCTAGTTGACATTTAGTGATATGCTCAATTTAAATCTAAGAATACAACAAATTAAATTACCCCATGTTTGAGCCCCTTTCTACAAACTCATTTTTAATCACTTTCTCTTAATAACACAATTTTACATATATATCCAACATTCTTCCTTCTTTTCTAATCACACATTCTTAAAAAATCATCATTACAAAACATATTTTCCCAAAACATGAAGCTGAAACTGAACCTTTTTCTTATTATTTAGTGTTAATTAAATCTAAAATTGACATTAGATAGCGTAACTTTATTTTAAATGAAATTCATATCCCTACTTTCCATGTGATATATCAAGTAATGACATTTGAATATCAATTCCGTTGATTAGCACAAATGATTTTAAATAGCATTACTCTAAAATGAAACTCATGTTTGGTAGAAATTAAAATCTAAATTTTATTTTAAGCTAAAATCAACAATTATTTTAACTTTATATTTCATATGATTCACATTTTTCAATCATATATTTCATCAACTTTTAAAAATTTGAAAATATGATTTTAATTATCATAAACAGGGGCAAAATATTTAGGCCCCGTTGTTTCCCATTTTTTGATCAAAAAATGAGAAATATGATCGTTATCCATCACTTCAAATCACTATATTTAATCTTCTTTCTCTTCTTAGAATTCCGTAAAAAATTTATTTTTATTCTTATAAGATTGGGTATCAAATGGAGGCAAAAGTTGGGGTTATTTGATTGGGTTCAAAACGTGCAGTGCTTTGGGTTTGGACAACTGGGCTTATCGACGGAAAAATCCATCATTGAAAATTGAGACCATGTAACAAGGGCATATACGTCATTTCAGTAAACCTGCTACTTGCTTGAATTTCAAGCGTTGGAAGTTCCGAGTTCCCAACACAAGCAAAGAATTATATCCTACGATTAACCCAAACGTAAACACATATTCTCTCTCTGTTCCACGCACAGAAACCCACACTGCCAGAGAGATCTACAAGAATGGCGAGTGCAGCGTCATCTTCACTGAGTTTGGAGGATGTGCCGTCGGTGGATCTAATGACGGAGCTCCTCCGCCGCATGAAGTGCTCATCAAAACCGGACAAACGCGTCATCCTCGTCGGTCGGTACACGATTTTATCTTTTACGTTTCGACGCTCTGCGTTTTTTTTTTGGGCGTCTAGTTTGATTTAATTTTGGGGTTCTGGAATGTAGAGAGCAGAGTTTTAGGGTTTATTTGCTAATTATGATAAATGATGTATGCGTTTTCTTGTTTTGATCAAGGTTTTAAAATGGGTAATGCGTTGCAATGAGTTTCGCTCGAGCATCAAGCATTATAAGAATATGCGTGCTTATGGGAAGCATATACGTTATTATGCGATTTGCCAATTTTTAATATTTTAAACTAATAACTAAATAAAATAATGTATTCTTTGAATTTTTATGCATATTCTTCGAATTAAAAAAATAATAAAATTACTCAAATTATAAATACTACAATAAGACAATTACTTCAAATTTATATATATTTTTCAAATTTTCAACAAAAATATTTGCTCAAAATCATAAATACTACAGCTACTTGATAATCAATTCCTACGATTCGATTAAACAAGAATATTGACAAAAAAAATTCTAAATCTTGTCTAGCTCTTTATCAGATTCTAATTTAATCTCCTCTTCATTCAAGTCATCTTCAGTGTCATCCGATACGAAATCATCTTCATCGGGCTCCCTTATTTCGACTTGAAAATTTCTATTACCTCTTGTAGATGGTAATATATTGTCAACTTCCTCCTCATCATCACAACCATCAACAATACAAGATTGTGCATTACTAGCATCACTTGCTAATAAAGTTTCTAATTTATCCTTCCTCTTTTTTTTGTTTCATTGCCATAAAAGTCCCATCAACGTAATTATTTAATTAGTACTTATCCCTTCAAAGACACTCCAATTTCTCTCACAACCGGATGAACTAGTAGTCAAACCAAGGATCCTCTTTGCCATTAATTTCAAGTTTGGTGTTTCATTGCCATAAAAGTCCCACCAAGTAACTAGTAAATGCAAAAGGAAGAGATAAAAATATTATAATATGTACATAAGGTATGTTAACAAGAAAAAGAATAATAATAATAGCATACCCGGATTGTAACTTGAAATATTGTTCTCACATCCACATGCTGCTAGTTTTCTTCCAAATGCACCTTCTTTTTGAGTGTATCTTTGCAACTCAACATTTATCACACGATGTTGCATTTGAGCATCGGAAAAGAACTTTTCAACACAAAGAATTACATTATTAGTTATCAATAGATTATCTTTGATTTTTGGATTCTTGAAGAAGTAAAACGGATTCAAAAGATAAGCTGTTGTGTGAAGTGGGTTATCAATTCGATCCTTGCCCTTTACATCAATAATGTTCAAGATTGGCATATAGTCACTTTCCCTCTTCAACGTCTTTATAATGTGATTCTTTGCCTTTAGTAGCTCTCCATAAACAAATCCCATTGAAGGTTTCTCCTCTCCATCAACTAGTTTAAGAACTTTCACTAATGGAGTAAACACTCTCAAACACAAGTCTATCAAGATACAAAAATCATTGGGAACAACAATATTAAAGGCCTCTTTTCCCTTTTTGCTCTTAGACCATTTCGTATTATCCCATTCATTGCTAGTCATCGTATTTCTCAACTCCTGTTTTTTATCGAGCAAACTTTGTAATGTTAAGAAAGATGTAGCAAATCTAGTGACTCCCGGCCGAACTATCTCCCTTTTTGTAAACTTCCTCATTAGTGCCAAAGTCTTATGATGTGCATAGATGAAAATAGTAAATGATTTTGCCTTCCTAATCACTCCTTTGAAGCTAGGAAGTTTAGAGATTCCCTCGAGCATAAGGTTCAAGGTATGAGTAGCACAAGATGTCCAAAAGATGTTAGGCCTTTGCATTGATAACAAATTCGCGGCGGCCATGTTATTGGAAGCATTGTCGGTTACAATTTGAACCACATTTTCCTCTCCAACCTCTTTAATACATTCATTGACATATTCAAAGATGTATTCACCGGTGTGAGCATCATCATTAGTTTCCTTTGAAGAAAGAAATGTGGTTCCCAATTTACAATTCACACACAAATTCATGATACTTCTTCTTTTGCTATCACTCCAAGCATCGGTCATAATAGAGCACCCATTATTTTTCCATTCTTCTTCTTGCTTCTTAAGAGTTTCTTTTATTCTCTCCACCTCTCCCTTCAAAAGTGGCTCCCTTAATTGGTATTGTGAAGGAGGGGTGTAACCCGGACCATATTGACCAAGAGCTTCAACAAATTTTTTAAAACTATCGTTACCAATGGCATTAAAAGGAATTCCGCCTTCGTAGCCAAATATTGATGAACTTCTAGTAACCTTTTCTTAGCAATTGCATCATTGATATTTTGTTGTTTCATTTTCTTACTTGCAGACATAGAAGCATCATCAACCTTAATTGGCTTTGAAAAGTTATCCATGGGACCCACATGTATAGGCCTTTTCCTTACCCCTTCAATGATTGAAATTTCTTCCTCTTCTTCCTCACGTGTAGACATAGATATAACTACATCTTCCCTCAACTTAGCTTTATTCAATGCATTCTCTAACTTCTTAGACTTAATCTCTTCAAGTGCTTCACGACACTTGGCTTTTTGCTCTTGACTTGCGTAGTACAACAAATCATCAATTTTTCTATTAGAGACCCTTGTTTGATTTCATTATTTTCAAAATGCATTTTTGTGGCTCTTCTTTTCAACCATACATTATTCCCTAAAATAATATGTTAAGATAATATTATGGGCAACCCTAAAACTTTTCCTCATTTTTTAATCACATTCTCCATCAATTTACTGTTCCAAAATACATTTTACACCAAAAATGAGGCTCAAACAGATTTTAATTAATAAACCCGACAATTAATGACTTATGGGAAACCCAAAATATTGGGGGAGGGGAAGTTTTAGGATTTATTTTCTAATTACTATAAATGAACGTATGGGTCTTGGTAAGCAGATTGTTGGATTTATTGTGCACATGCTAATCCACAGCATTTCAGCTACAGATTTAACCCTTTGTATATGCTAATTTCTAGACATATAGATTTGTGGGAAACCCACCACTGGGTTGGGGAGCGGAGAAATAGAAAGAAAGACGAGGTTTTGAAGATATATATATAAATATGTGTTCTACAAGTAAAACTTATCAATATTAACAGAGTCTATTTTTAAATAAATTGAGCTAACTTGCCAGTCTTATGGGTGTTGGGCGAAAATCTAACTTGACACCGCAACACCCATGTGTGTGTGGGGGGGGGGGGGGGGGGATAGAATAGTCCTAAAAGTGTGAGGGAGGCTATTTTTTTTTTTCGTCTACATTTCCATGGAGTCATATTACATTGCCCCGTTTCTATGTCCCCAACTAAGTCTCAATTTGATTCATTAGTCTAGTTTCAGTCTTAACCAAAAGCTATTTTTTCAGCTCTAGAGGCACCTTATTTCTAATTTTCTCAGGGTTACGAGTGTCAATAGTTTAGAAGTTTTTAATTTTTTTTTAAGATAGTGCCTCAGTTAATTTTGTAGCAGCATTAGGAAGAAAATGAACGGGGGGAAATGCGGGTCCAAGAAACGAGGAGTCTTAGCACACTATAATGCATGGACACTCCTACTGGTGCTGCGTGTCCGACATGTGTCATGTCATGTCCTATATGTATTTTTTCCAACCCGGTAGGCGGTAGTGTAATATCTAGATTAATTTGCAGTTATTTTTATTTTTTTTTATAACAAATAGCTACTTAGCCAATTTGAATGATTTCATGAACAAAAATCAAAAATAAGAAAAGAATTGATTTTTAAAAAAAATTAGAAGTATAAATAGAAAGATATTATGTATTAATTTACAATTTTAAAGGATTAAATTATCCCGTCACCGATGTGTATGTGTATTACGTTTCTAAAAAATCACACATTGTCTTGTTCGTGTCCTTGCAACATAGTCAGCACTTCAGTTTATTTTCTTTCTCAATATGAGCCATGCTATTGCGGGCTTATAAGTGAATTTTTGGGGAGACAAGTTCCTAGTGGTGTTGAATTATTCATTATTCATTTAAGGAGGTTCTATTGGTCCTTTAATGATTTAATTTCATGCCAATTTTAACTTTTAAGCTGAGAGGGGATTATTCTCCAAGTCACTTTCAACTAATACTTTGTAGTATTTGTGTATATACAATTATATAAAGGGACCAAGCTCTTGGTGTTTTATATATTATTAACATTAAACGGTCAACAATATAATTGGCAAGGGACCATGCATTATGGTCATTTCATCCATTTGTTTTAAGAGTTGTTTCTTAGCAAACTGTGAAGTTGGAGCATAAAATTTTGAAGTTGTTTGTCACGCACTGAGCAACTTTATGTAATCTGCTTTTCAGGCCCGCCAGGATCAGGGAAAGGTACTCAGTCACCAATAATTAAGGATGAGTATTGCTTGTGCCACTTGGCTACTGGTGATATGTTGAGAACTGCTGTTGCTGCCAAATCACCCCTTGGGATCAAGGCTAAGGAAGACATGGACAAGGTGCTTACCATCTTTATGATTGCCTAAAACCTGCAGGATAACACCTGTTTTTTGCTGAATAAAAATTACGTGCTTGTCATGGTTTCTCAGGGTGAACTTGTTTCCGATGACTTGGTGGTTGGGATAATTGATGAAGCTTTGAAAAAGCCTTCCTGCCAAAAAGGTTTCATTCTTGATGGATTTCCGAGAACAGTGGTCCAAGCACAAAAGGTTGTTACTTTTACATGGTATCTGGATGTTCATTTGTTTTGTGATATAATTTTTATTTACAACGGTATCTCCATATAGTGGTCTAAAATATGGTTTTGTTTCTTTGTATCAGCTTGATGAGATGCTTGAAAAACGCGGTGCTAAAGTCGATAAGGTTCTTAACTTTGCAATTGATGATGCAATCTTGGAAGAGAGGATTACTGGTCGCTGGATCCACCCATCCAGTGGTCGCACCTACCACATGAAGTTTGCACCTCCTAAAGTACCTGGGGTTGATGATGTAATACCATTTTACTTATGTTTTCTTTCTCTTGTTATGCAAATGTAAAATTCTTACTACCTGTTGTAGATATGATGTTGCATTTAGCCTCTTTTTCTGATCCCACAAGGGTGTAATTATCAATGCTTTGTTTGAAATTAATTAGAACTGAGAGAGCAGAGACATGCACATAACAATGTAGTTGAAATTTTACCTTCTCCTGTTTGGGTAAGAAAGCAAATTGGGAAGAAACTGAAATGAGAGAAACTAGGACAGACCTAGTGAAGAAATTTTTGAAATTTCCTCTCATAACCTATTTTCTTTGTTTGGTTAGAAGAATAAAAGACGAGATGAATGTGGAAAGGAAAGGAAATTTTATATTATCTCCTCTGTTTTCTCTCCAATTAAACACAAATGACCATAAGTTGTGTTTTTGTAGAGCTAAATTCACCTTTATATAGCTGGGACTTGTCGCCTCATTGCATGTGATGGTGTTTTGCTGCTTTATGTGGTAAGGATCAACCCTAGTACAACTGCAGCTGATTTTGTCTGAATATCTTTGTGAAGGTCACTGGGGAGCCTTTAATTCAACGTAAAGATGACACTGCAGCTGTTCTCAAGTCAAGGCTGGAAGCTTTCCATAAGCAGACTGAACCGGTATGCTGTTCTTTTTTGTGATATTCTTGGTATTTTTTCCCTTCTGCATTGGCCTCTCGCACCCGCCCCAGGAGGAATCATGATTTACACTGGGGAAGTTTCTTTTCAAGACTAAAGCTGGAAAAATGAAGTTGCCAATATTTTTCTTATTCTGTTACTCTTGTATTTATTACTATTATGCCCTTCTGTTACACGTTATCAGCTTAGATCAAAGTTAATTTCGTTTATGTCTGATTTTTGACCTCCCAAAATTTTCCAATTAGGGGGGAAGAGAAGTTGGCTAGGAGTTTTACCTCCACATGTGGTTAAGTACCGCTGTGCTCTACTTCCCTCTTCCTCTTTCTTCTTCCATCCTACATCCACTGATGTTATCCCTGTTCCAAGAAACATGCTAGTTATAGATATTTTTAACTTGAATGTGAAACATGTCCTTTTCTAGAACCTAGTTGGTTCACGGTTTGTCTACAAGGCCCCTATGAACTGACAAAAATGAGACCCACAGCCGACTGTCAATGAAGACAATCACCGTGGCAATGCTGATTCATAATAAATGCTTCACCAAAATTGAACTTGTTATACAAACTGTGAATAGAAATATTTGCAGGTAGCTAAACCTGAATTATAACGACACGTCTACCAGTCAATTTTAAGCAAGGTGACCACTTTTCTGCATCAAAAATTGGATTAACCTATTCCGTCCTATCCGTGTGGAATGACTTTGATAAAAATTGATGAAATGCGTATTTGAAAAGTTGTGGATTTCATGAAATATCTGGTTAAATTAATTGTTGACTTCGACTTGAGATTTTTAGCAGATTTTACTTTACACCAAACAGAGGCTTAGTAAAAATATGCACTGAATATTGGCAAATAGTCACCACTTATCAAGAACGGTATTACATGCTATTCCTATATTGAAGGGAGAAATCATCATGTCACTTTGATTCATGCATTGATAATAAATTATCAATCTCTGAATCCCCTTCATTTTCTCGTTGATTATGAGTATCTCTTTATTATTTTGTCGATGCCATAGTTGTGGACTGAGGCTTTGATTATTGAGTTTCACATTGATTTTCAGGAATATTACTCCTTTTTTCCTTGAAATGTAGGTAATCGATTACTACAATAAGAAGGGTATCGTGGCAAACCTTCCAGCAGATAAACCACCTCAGGAGGTGATGGCAGATGTTAAGAAGGCACTCTCCTGATGAAAGATTTCCCCCTTTTTTTACTAGACCTAAATATTTAGAGCTCAGGTTTTTGGTCCTTGTATTCTGTTACATTATGACATTACCTGATGAAGAGCAGCAGCACGGTTTTGTGGCCGTCGCTAACCTAACCCAAAACATCCAGTGTTGAGATGTTTAGACAAGATAGAAAATAATTGTTGACAGCGGCTTTCCAATGGCTTTATTTATTGGTTTGCTAACATTATAGTTGCTTACATTTTTTATAAACGGCTGGTTGCTCTCGTATCTGTATGTTTGTTTATATTGGGTTAAAATCACTAGTGGTCACTGAACTTTTACTTATGAATAATGCAACTTTTACATATTGGTTCCGATGAGGTGTCAAAAAAGAATTTGATTGAAATTTTTTTGATTAAATCATATATTATCACATCATGTTTATATGTCATTATTAAATAATTATGTACATATAGTACAATTGCTAACTTAAGCCCTTGTTTGAGCCCCATTCTTTAGAAGAAAGTGTATTTTTCAACAGTGTTTTTAATTATACATTCTTCAATAAAATAATTACATGTAAATACAAATTTTTTTTTAATTAATCATACATGTTTCATCAATAAACTATTAAAAAATATCTTTTTCGTCCCAAAATGGGGCTCAAACAATTTCTAAATACCAATTTTGTCGCTGAACTTTTCTTTGTTCTGATCATTAAAGTGGGTAGTTGAAGTTAATCATTTTTTGCAATTTTGTCAATATCTCAATGAACTTTCACTATAAATTTTGTGCCCTGTTATAAATTAGATTCAACCGAGCATGTTTGGTGAAGTTTAAATTGCTTACTTGTGAGTAGATAAGTGAGCTTAAGTTCTTTACATTTTGTAGTAACATAAGTTTTAATCGTTTGCTTATGAGTAACTTTTTACTAACGAGAGAAATAAATTGAATTAGTTAAACGTGAATGAAAATGAAATGCTAAAAGTAATTTTTACTTATTAAGCTTAGGCATGCTCCTAGCATCTTAGTCCATTGAGGGATCTTCGATTTTCTCTTTTTTTAATAATATCCAACATTGTCTAGTTAATAATACTAAAAAGTCATTAGTATAATCCAAATCAGTTAAAAGCACGATGGATTTGATGTTCACAATTAACAGGAACCAATGTTGGAATGAATTATCCTATTTCCCCACCGAGACAAATGAAATATGTCCCACAAAATAGAATATTCTACTAAGCCGTTGTTTTAGTACCCCTTCCCTTTTTTTTTTTTTTTCAAAATTCACTTTCTACTACGTATTCTTCCATAAAATATTTTTACATGTAAATTCAATTTTTTTCTCACTTTTTAAGTACACATTCTTTAAAAAACCATTATTACAAAAAATCATTTTCTCCAAAAATAGGGCTCAAACCCACTTCAGAAACGTTCAATA